TTAGAACAGCTTCACTTCTTAGCGTTCCCATCTTCTGCAGTACTTTCCTTTCACTTGCTTTGTAGGCCTGCCTGAAACACTGGGCAAAAGGATAATGCCAAACCATGTGGCTAAGACATCAACTTAATTCTTCAAAATATTTAGAGGAACCTTAGAAGTCAAAAGCAGATTTTGGAACAAGGATGGTCAACACAGACCCCTTCCATCAATCCAAGTGAATACTAGGAGGAGAAGCACTTTGCAAGCATAAACAGGCTAAGGGGTGGTCTATAACGGATGACCCTTGTTCATGTATTTAGTTAGAATATCTCTTGATGTGTATTCCTCCCACATGAAACTACTGCAATTGGAAACGCTGTCAGCAGAAGCTTTTATTTTCCGTCTCTGCTAAAAAATGATGCTTTTTCATGTCAAGTGTTATTCTGTCTTGAATACAAAAAATTCCAGGGGAGAGTAACATTCATTTTACAATACTTCATGCATCTTTTATGACAACTAAAATAGGCTTCAATAGCTGCTGTGTACAAGGGGCATATATATAAGCCAGGGACGTTTATTAGTCAAAGTTCACAAGCATGACAGTCATTCAAATCCAGGTGTGCAAGTGAAAGCACATGAAGTCTGCATGGTCCTTAGCATTCATATTAAAAACAAATTAAGACAGGATGGTGACGTACAAGGATAGCTAGGAAATAGGATTTGCTCTGCTACCAAGACCCTGCATAAGCCTCGTTAGGCATCAACCATATGATACAGTGCCTAGTTTACAAAACAAGCTAGATCTTCTCAGAGACAGGTCACCCAAAATAACAAACCATTCAAAGGTATTGAGGCAATGATATTGAGAAAACTCAAGAACTTAAGATATGAGCCAATGTGGTGCCCTTTAATTTCCTAAGTTCAACTCCAAAAATTTAAATATAAAAGTGACAGACACCAAGCTGGATCACTGCCAGTTTTTCTGCACATTACCCCCCACAAAAACTTGTTTTTCTGCAAGGCACATTGTCAACTGCAATGAGAAATTAATCGCATAAGCCCGTATAATGCTAGTTATCTACAGTATCCACCTCCACATATTTTGTGAATAAACTCCTTCTACACCTGCAAAAACTGCCTAACTCTTGCTCAATAACGTGTCTCCTCTAAAAACACAAGTTTTGCTTAAAACTTGAGTCCCTATCCACCTGTGCCTACCAGCACACAGTATCTTCCCTCACCTCCCTGTGCATGTGCACAATTAGGGACATAAAAAAGTGGAAACAAATATATAAATGATTTCTCACCTACGAAGAAAACAGCAGACGCGTATTTTTCTGTCTGCTACTTTTAGGTCCTCATACTACAGAAAAGTATTTAGGTCTCTGAAGTGCTGCAGAAGCATCCAGAGTAGGTAGTTAGGCACTTCATTTAAATGTTAAAGCTATTACTTAAAATATATGTTATTAAAACATTACTATTTAAAAAGATTCAATGCAATGAAACCCATGAAAAACTATAAGCATTTCAGTCATATACAGTATTAAAAAAAACAGTAAGCTAAAGCTGCCTATTGTTAGGTGACAGATTTTTATAGGTGGTTTCAAAATATATTACTAGTGTAATTTTTATTTACTAGTGAAATGTATACTTTCCAATTCCAGAAAAGACTTAAGATATAGAAGTAAATCTGAACACAGCTCTTTAAATCATCAGGATATAGATAAGCTTATGAATACGAAAGACTACTATTCAGCTTTCAGCTTTCGAAACTCTACACATTAGTTTGATGCTGACTATACAAAGTAGGAGTCCAGTTTAGAGAAGAGCCTTGTGACCATAGGCTTGAACAGAAATTTCCTACATTTCAGCAGAGGCTGGCACTTTTTTGGTTTCTATTAGGCTTTTGCAGGAAAGAGGAAATGCTGCAAAGGAAAGTATTTCAGTTTTGAAGAGAATGCTAAACAATATTGTCTTAGGATACAACTCTTCCCCATTAACTCTGAAATTTAACAATTAAATTGACAAAAAGGCAATTAATCCTTAATAGAAAATTAGTCCAGGAGAGAATTTTAAGCATAGATCTTACTTTGTTTGCACAGTTATATGGGCCAGCCACAGAAGACATGTATGTTCCAATGCACAACACACAATTTTTTACACATACATAGGCCAGACACTTCCAAGTCCTTGAGCAGTGGGAACTAATGAAGAACAGGATAAAAGAGAACTGCAAGCAGTTTCTCAGACAGAAAGCAATAATGAAGACAAAGTATTCATTTGAAATATATAAGTTTAAAAGAAATTACAGGTTTTACAAGTGAGTATTAAAGCTGCATGGAATTGCTACTGAACAAAAGATTACTGCATTAAGCAACACCCACACTAAGTGTACGAAGGAAGCATGTGTGGCAAACACGCTGTACGTGATCACGACTACAGGCATTTGTCTGGGCTCAGAACACAAAGTGACAAGGACCTGCAGGAGGAGGAAGACAAAACCCATGTGTTTGCGGGAAAAAAGGATCGCAGATGACAAGATACGAAACAAAGTTTCTGGATTCTCCTTCCCATTTCATTCTTAAGAGTTCTGAAGTGACTGAAAATAGTCAGTAAGAATTGGGTTTATGCAAAATACATATGCTACATTCAGTCCTAACCAGGGCTAATGCTCTTCCACACTTACTGAACACACACCTAGAAAAGCATGCACATTTTTATCGCTTCACGTG